TTGTGCTCCTTCCCTTATCCCCATCATCCAAAAAAAAAACAAAAAAAGGTTGTGCCCCTTCCCCTATCCCCACCATCTAAAAATAGTTGTGCCCCCTTCCTCCCTCAACCCAAAAAAGAAAAGTGTGTGCCCCTCTTCCTCCCTCCACCCAAAAAACATATTTTGTATCCCCTCAATCACCAACCAAAATTGCTGGATATCACCATGTTGTAGTATAACAGTAGGAAACATAGACAACTCTGACTAATTTGCATATAGAGTGTGAAGCTGATTTTATTCAGAATTAATTTACACAGTTACAAACTTCTATATTTCAAGTTAGTGTCATGATGGACATCAGAAGCAAATCAAACAGTTATTTAATGGCAACTAGTAGCATTCAATGCAGCCATTCGGAATCATCCCATCAACATCTACAAGTAATCACTGAAACAGCTATGATGGCTCAACTATATCCATCATCCTGCCATAAAGAACTATCATTGTCTACTGCTGTCCTAAAGACATCTAATTCTAGTGCTGTAAAAAAGACATATCATATACTGCCACTCTCATAAAGACATATCTAATTCTAGTGCTGTTAGAGAGACATGGTATATACTACTGCCGTCATAAAGATATGTCTAATTCTAGTGCTGTCATAAAGACATATCTAATTCCAGTGCTGTCATAAAGACATATATTCTACTACTGGCATAAAGACATATATTCTAGTCCCCAAGCCTTTCTTGTTTAAACTGCTCACCTGATATAAAATTATCAATTTTTTCAAGATTATTCAATACTAGAACATGTAAACATCAAAGAAAACCAAAAATGCAGTGTTACATTAGACAAATTGAGAGAAAAAAGACCATGTGACATTGTAAAAGCATTCCATATAAGCTTAAGGATTTTTATTATCATTTTGTTTAACTTGAAATATTTGGTTATAGTTTAATTCTGTTTCAATGATGGTGTATCAACATAATTGATTTGAAGTGAACAAATTAAAAAAAATCTTAATTTCCTGAACTCAAAATATTATTAACAATTTACTTTTATATGGTTGATGTCACACAGACGACAGATGCTAAACCATGAGTATCTTCATAAACTGAAATTATGTAAAAACCATATTATAAACAGGAAAAAAATAACACTAAACAGTTATTTAAAAAATCCTGGAATAAGTGCAAATATGAGACTCTTTTCATCACTGGGCAAACATGGATCAATACAACTGTGTCCCACATCCTACAACAAACTGCTGCATGTGTGCGATATTTTAATGCAAGAAGCAAATTATTATGCAAAAGTTTTAAGAAAAAAGAAAGTATCATTTTGCTTTCAATTAAAAATGGAAAAATTACCAGGAGGCCTAGTGGCCTTGATGGTCACCTGAGGTAAGCTATATTGTATAAAAATTAAAGGATAAGTAATTTTCATGTGTCACAAAAAGAAATTAAGACATTGATGATAGAAAGACTTCAGTAATATGATTTAAGCCCTTAGGGGTCAGTCAATGTCATTATATGTGAATGCACACCATAAAAACTTTCATCCTATACTTATGATTCTTATTAGGTTATTTCCAATGGAAATTAAACAAACTGTGCTCAAAAAATGTACTTTTCTTCTATACACAATATTAAACTTTAACCCCTTCTCTAGGGTATACGATATGGGGTCATGACATTCAACTTTAGTAAAGCACCACAATACCCTTCCATCAATGAAGAGCATTTTTATACTACCATATCTGGGTACTGAAAAGAAGATTTTCAGTTATTTTGACTCATTTCGGCTCCTGCCTATCAGCCCCTGGGGGTCAGTCAGGACCAATATGTTCATACAATCAAGCTGTTGCTAATAACTTTAACAAAGTCGAAAATATTTCCAATGGAAATTTAACAAATTAAGTTTTAAAAAAATGTATTTTCCTAATTAAACTACAGTAAACTTTACCCCCTCCCGTGGGAAAAATATGTGACTTTGACCCCTTTGGCCCCATCCTTCAGGCCCTTTGGGGGTGAGGAACATATAATTCATTACTTTATTTCCTTTTTGGTGATTGAAGATTTCTGCAAAATTTCAATGAAATTGGTTCAGGGTTTTTAAGAAGTTGAAAATGTTGGAAGTTTATAGACCCATGACGCTATACAAAAGGCGATTGCATTAAGTCACCATGAAACTTTGTCTCAGGTGACCTAAAAATAAAACAAAATGACAAAAAAAAACTGCTCTGATACAGTCTGTCAGTGCATTGTAGTGCAAAACATGAAATAAGTAACAAAAAACATGTATTAACAAGATTTGTAATAGGTACATACAATATTAAACATCAACACACCAATCAGAACCAGAGATCCTGGAATTACCTCCTCTAATGACTTTTTTTGAAAACGACTAGAGAAAATCAATAAAATTGATCAAATACAAGATCAAAATATTTAATACCTTGAAAATCCTGTCTTGACTCAAGGAAGATTTATCAGAATACTGATTTACATAATATAATATAAACTTTATTTATTTTACAACAATTGCGAAACAAGTTATGACAACTTATACTAATCACTCTTGTTGGCCCGGATGTAAGCGCGTGAGGGGTCTTATTGTGAGAGGAAACCGGAGTACCCAGGGAAAACCCATATGGCCCCTTACCTTTTCACGTCCGTTCCGGGAATCGAACCCCGGTCGGCTTGGTGAAAGGCGAGTGCGTTAACACTGCGCCACCGGACCACCCTGATTTACAGCTTTCCCCTTAATATGTATACTTAAGATGATAATATGATAGATATTTGTTTACAATATAATACATAACCCTATACACTATAAGATTTGAAATGCTTGGAACTCACAAATTGCAGGTAAGTATTACATGCAAAGACTTGTACAAAATATGTCTAGTCAGGGAAAACCAAATATACCTAATACACGTTCCGTAAGACCAAGAATAAGTTATACAAGACTGAGAGATTGCCTCAAGGAAAACATCGATATCCAAAACATAATATTTGTTCTACTACTACATTTATCATATCATGGAAGTCCAAGAGTTCCACTTGAAAACCATTTTGTGTCTTTAAAGAGAAAGTTTAAAGACTGACATTTGTCTTGTAGAATGAAGGTGATGGGGATATGATAAGTAAGATCAGGCTGAACTTTGACAGAAAATTATGCAATTTTGACAATCAAATCACAAAATCTTAGATCTATCATATATAAGTATACATACCCCAATGGAAATATTTACCAAAACATAAAATTCACAATTACATCATTAGCACCGGATTTGTAAACCAGTGGGACTGGAATGCTATATGTGTTTATACAATGTACACGGATTTATTGTGGGCACAAATATCTTAACTACAGAGGCATCTACATATCAGTATTTCTCAATGGAATGTGTATTATTTGTGATCATATTTGCAAACATTTACGGGGGAGTTTTTATGTGCTCAATCATTAAAGCATAATTCAAATGTGTGTATATAACCTCAAGTAAGGTAATAGCACTCGAGTAAATGGCATCTTAGCACTGTTCATTCAAACAAATCATTAGATCTTAGAAGATGAGAATAGTTTAGTAAGTTCATTTGTTGAAAACAGCAAAATTTCAGGTTCAAAATTGTGAGTCTCCCTCCTAAATGGGTAGGGTTGGCAGGTATGTGTGATATAAAAGTAAAAATTCCCAAGAATTAGTAAACCTTTTACTTGAACAATTTGACCTTCAATTTTTAAATGCTATTTTAAGATGAACAAACATTATGGATAATGCACTGATTCTCACCGGTAATATAAAGGGGCCAATCACATCATCCCTTACAAAACCATGCTTATAACATGGACCAATTAAATGGCAGTTGATAAATTACACTAACTAGTGATAAATCATATTTTTCTTTGATGGCAAGAAATTGTTGTATGAACATCAATGTCATAGCGGGGTTTTTTTTTTTGCAGAAAAAAACAACAAGAAGAAAACAAAAAATATGCACACCGACACACACAAAAACAAAAAACCAAATAAGAACATACACAAAACTCACCTCTGCAATATGTTTTAAATATATCTTCAAAATTATTACTCTGTTCATTACCCTTTCTTATTTCAAGATTTTCCTAACCTCACCTCTTGAAATCTTGTCGTGAATGGCCCTGATGTATGGGTGTAAGTCATCGCACCACAATACTATAATACTGTTATTGGCCACAAAAATATCAAACATGAAATATCGGTTAATTTATAATGAGGAGCTGTGCAGGTCTTTTGTACCAAATCAATCTCAATATATGAAGTACCAAATCAATCTCAATATATGACACTAAAGTAATTTATCATTTGTAACACAAAACAAATTTTTCATCTTACTACACACAGAGGTATCCATTATTTACACAAAACAAATTTCTAATCTACCTACACACAGAGGTTTTACACAACACAAATTTCTAATCTACCTACACACAGAAGTTTTACACAACACAAATTTCTAATCTACCTACACACAGAAGTTTTACACAAAACAAATTTCTAATCTATATACACACATAAGTATTACACAACACAAATTTCTAATCTTACTTCACACAAAGGTACAAAAAGTATTCTTATTTAAAGAAAATTCAATTTTTATCAAACTACACAAAGATATATCATAATAATTGTTTACATCAAACAAAATCTTCATCTACTGAACACAGATGTGTTTACAATAACACTACTAGACAAAAAACCCTCCTTTTCTTATATCCAATCAGGATATTTGTATGGTATTTGTTAGATTTCCTGCGGTAAAGTATTCTACCTATTTCAGAATTTAGAAATACTCCATCCACATGTTATATACCCAGGTATTAAATATTAGATTTCCTTGGTTTAATTCTCTATCCAAATTTCACAGTGTGAGTCTAATATATGTTCATCCAGAAATATAAGTTCTTACAGTATAAGACTAAAAACTGTCAATCAGAAAGCTGTTCTAATCTGAAACTGTTTAAGGGATTGTTTATTTTAATCTCATTGTTTCAGAAATATTGACAAAACAATATGCTATATGCATTTCATTGAAAGGTAACAGAGTGTAGTTTACAAGCACATGTTAAACCTAGATTGGTAGATGTTTTTCAAACGAGGGCTAATTCTGCTTTAGATAATGGACCTTACATTTGTCAAAACGTTTATCATTGGATTTTCAAGCAATTGATAAGCTAGCCTGTAAGCAGGAAAAAAAATAAACAACACATCAAGCAACAACTATTCAGAAACTGATATCAGAGATAATTGATTTATATCTATATAAATTTTGAAACAGTTGCTCCTATTTTGATCATGTTTTCTTTGAGTAGCTACTACTGATAAAAATGTTGAGGGGATCATGAAGAATCTGAGACAGAGATCAAAATTTGAATTTTTTATGTTATAGGCCAAATTAATTTTCAGTCAGTGGGACAAACTACACAAAATCACATCTTACAGAGTTTAAATTACAGTTATCTTCCTCCATCCATAAATAAATAAATGCATCAAAATAGAAAGAAAAGAAAATTAGACTTGAAATTTACATAAACATCCTTATCCTATGGAAGCAATATGTGTAATGTTAAGAAAGGATAGGTAAATACAGATTTCATGGCTATGCCTGTGAATTGGGCAATCTTCGGTGTTGACTTCTGCAGAGTAAACCTGGATCTCATTTGACCCTGGATTTCTTCATGATCCATGTGCTAGTAGCATAGTCATTACACTGGTTCCAGGATGTTCATCAGGTTCTTTTCATATAGGGCGATAAGGAGCATGATGGATGCTCCTAAGATCATACCACCTACCTGGATGAGAAGGTGGCAGAAAGGGTGTTCACCTTGACGTGTATCTACTGCAGTTAGCTCAGGCAACTATAGAAATAAACAAGAAACACCTTTAATATCACAGGCAATGCATACATTTGATTAATTTTGTTAACTTAATGAATACACATAATTAAGAATAAAACAAGAGGTCATCTGACTACAAAAACTTCAGCTGGAAGAAGGGTTATTTTTTCTACTTTGTTACCTATTTTCTGACAGTAAAGTTAGAGCTCAATGCCACTGGTGAGACTTTTGATAAAAATTGGAAATAGGTTCTGCATAGGAAAACCATGATTGCACAATCATATTTCAAAATGGCCTCCCTGGCTGCTGTATAGAAGTTTTGACAAAGTCAAAAAATAAAAACACTTTATTGGCTACCTGTCGTTTACATTCCCACCAATTTTTAGCTCAATGGCACCAGTGGAACTGCAAAAGTTTAAAATATGATCATTTTATGCAAGTTTAAGATCAAAGTTTACGCACAGTGGATGGTGCACAGCAGATGATGAGGGACGAAGCATGATGGCTCAGATGACTTAAAAAGCCCCTTTTCTGCATTTTTTAAGAAACACTCACCATATCGACTAGAGCTATGTAGAGGAACATGCCCGCCACCGACACAAACACCCAGGTGATGGAATCTCCAAAGTTGCCAATAGCAACACCAATCAACATTCCAATGAATGCCAGGACAGAGGACACACAGTTGTACATTACTGCTTGCTTTACTGTCATTCCTGCCCTAAGCAACACAGCGAAGTCACCTGGTAACAAAAGATGACAATAAAATACCAACAGATCAATTTGACAGAAATACCTGTTTCTTGAATGGAAGGTTTTGCTCTACTTCAACAATCATTTTGATGGAATTTACATCTATGACCTGTAATCTAAATCAAACACTGTAAATTATCTAATACTCCAGAAGGGAAGCAACTCTTCAGTTTGTAAAAAACATATCTTGACAATAGTTAAATAAAAAATAAAAATGAAATTTTTGAAAATGACATTATAACATACAAAATTGCAAGTTTCATTGTCAATTGAAAAAAAGACTGACAAGTTTACAGAGAATAACATAATGAAGAACATACCAATTTCATGAGGAAGCTCATGACAGAAGACTGCAACAGATGTACTAAAACCACCTGTAATTGAGCTGGAGAAGGCTGCCCCAATCGCCAGCCCATCACAGAAGTTGTGAATACCATCACCAAGAATGACCATCCATGCGATGGAAGCTACAGAGGTCGGCAGTATGTGGGAGTGGCCATGATGGTGATGTGAGTGGCTAAGCACAGAAGTTGGATTCTCTTCATCAACCATGTCAAATTTTCTATCATTTTTGTGGTGACTGTCATGTTCACCAGAACATTTCTTGTGAGATGACTCAGCGAAGTTGGTGAGGGCTGAATTTAAATTGAAATGTAAATCAGAAAATGTACACTTATCAAACATTTATTTGAATTAGATTAAATTCAATAATTTATTTACATAATTTATTTATATTTATATAATCTGGGATGGTGGTGAGGATTAAATTTAATCAAAATACGAATCAAAGATGTATATAAACATTTATCTGAACAAGATAAACATTAGTTAATAATTACCTTTTTGACCTGGATGGATGCCCATGATCTGTTCCTTACAATCTGGGTCAGTGACACGCATGGCACCACACTCTGTCAGTGGTATGCTTGTATTATCATCACCTAGTTCTCCAGACTCCTTCACAAACACAGACCCTTTCTGTGAAAACTAAAAAGATGCAATATGCCAAACAAACCACAAAAACCGAGTTGCAACTACCTGTCAAACACATTCCTATGATATTTTAATTAAAACTTTTAGCTACTGCTGTAACATACAAGTACTTTGCTTATTGTTGTTAATATCCAGCATAATTCTAGTGTTCCAAATGAATGCCTAGCAAGACGTATACATATATCATGAATAAACAAGTTCCAAGCTCCTTCCTCTGTCGATATTTCAGTCAGATAGTGTAGTAAGTAGTACTTTAATTTTGAAAGGTATCATCAATCAATCAACCTTGAAACCTTGACCTCCAAACTGACATCGATAAATAACAAGGCTATAAAAGAAGGAATGTATTAAGGGTTTTTGCCCTTCCTATACTACCCTTAAAACATTCTGCATTACTCACCTTCTTGCGTTTACGTTTCATGTCTGTGACAATGGATAACACTCTCTCCATGGTGAAGAAGAGGAAGATAGCACCCATTCCACATAGGCCCTTAAGGATTGCCAGTTGGTGCTTTTCATCCTCCTCTTTATTGCCATGGCTGCTGTGGTCATGACCACCTTGAAGTGCCTAAATATAAATAAATAAATGTCTTCATGTATATTAATGAAGTTTCTGATGATAACTATCTTTTTATATAGATTTTGCTGGCCCTTAGTGCTATACTATTATAACTCTTTTCTTTTGTCTATACAAAATTTTTAACATTTGCAGTGTCTGGTACATATATAGAAAAACATTAAAGTACTGAAAGTTATTGTGAGATTCTTTGTGAATACTTAACATTCTGATCAAATTCATGCGTGCTAATGTCCTGAAAATTCCATTATCTATTGTAACATAATGTAGATGTATATTATTGTGTCAAAGCATTCTGTACGTGGATATACAAGTATCAGCAACACCTCAGAATCAAAATTAATTAATAAGATAGACATCTTAAGGATAATAGCTTAAGTTTGTATCAGCAACATCTCTAAATCAATATTAACTAAATAAGATAGATATCTTAAGGATAACAGCTCAAGTTTGTCACATTTAAACATATGGTCTCAGTAATGATTAAAGTAATTAGTTTCTTGACCAAATCAAACTGAAATTTTAGCTTAATAATTGAATTCCTCCCTACAAAGGGACACTTTAATAAGTTTCAAGAATGCCATATTATTTATTGTATTTACTATAACATGGTAGATATCCATACCAATATGATATACAACTTGAATGTTTTCTTTGGGTATTTGTTGGTCTTTTACATATTACATATTATAAGAAACGATTTGAATATTGATAGGTTAGTTAATACTTGGAGCAGACTTCTGAATGGTACACATATTTATTCACTTTTCAGTTTTTACATAAACATTATGGCCTTTCAGTGAACCAGTTCACCCTACTGACAGACTTTTCTTTTTAACATAACAAGAGACTTTTAGTTGGGGTAGTGGGTATATATCTGAATAGATTTACTTACATGAGGAAGTAGATGTAACAAAGCATCCCCTGATAGCGCCCCAACTGCCAGTGCCACAAGGAAGAGAAGCAGGTGGTTGTAGAAGACTTTCTGCATAATTGGGACGACAGCCACACCAAGCAGTCCAACCATACTGATGATCACTATGGCAATGGTTGAATATCCCCACACTGCAACACAAAAATAAAATGAGTTTTTTTTTCTTCTAATATTTTATAGCATATGGATATACTAAACATCCTCACACTAACAGATAATAGTAAAGATACCAACAGTATACATTTTTTTGTTTTCAAGCAATTAATTATCCATGAATATAATTATGAAAGGTTACAAAATTTTACATTTCATTTTCTTTATGATAATATGATATCTAACTATAAATATACTCTTTATAAGGATAAGTTTAATATTAACAGTTATTTCTTTGTTTTTCACAACACTTTCAAGATATTATCCCACGATGAAATAGAGCAGTTTCCCCCCCCCTACCCCCCACCCCCCCAGACTAACCAAATTAATTGATAACAGCTTGGGAGTAATTATCCAAATAACAAATGATTACATTGGAATCACAAACCTTCTGCTGGTATTTCTTTAAAGGAGACTGCGACAGCCTCTAGGTCTGGATGATCATGATGGTCATTTGACATTTCCCTACACTCAGTCCGAGTAAGAGTGGACAGTATTCCAGGACACATCTGCAGAAGCCGTTCTTTAGACACTATCTCACCTTCGTGTATGTTGAAGTAATGGAACAGGTCATCACACTAACAAGAAAACAATTTAATTTTACATGTACACATTAAAGTTGTCAAAACCACCACAAATGTTCATATAGGTATTTCTCCAACCTCCGTTACATTGTATCTAAAAACAAATTGTACATGTATTAGTCTACCCACAGTTAAAGCTAAATGACATATCTTATAGATGTTATCCTTTACATTTTCAGCTCAGGTCTAAAGAAATTTGTTTCTACTCACATACGCTAGAAAAATAGGGTATGTCATTCTGGAAATGTATTGATTAATATTTTCAGGAGTTTTTACTGATGAAAATGTCCTACACCATACAAAAGTTAAAAAAATGTTTGCTAGACCCGTTTTTAAATCTGGGGACTTAAACGCACCTTCAAAATTAAAACATTTGTTTGTTTTCCCTCAGCCAATCAAGAGAGAGGTGGACAAACCTTGCTACTGAACATACCTCCAATTTTCGGATAACACTTTCTCATTCCAGTTCAGGGTTTTTGGCTCTAAATCTGTTTCCATCAAATGGAAATTTGTGGAATAGCTAGATATACAGCTAGCCTAAATCATACTTAAAAGATTTTCTAGTCAAACTACCTCCCAGTATAACAAGTTTCATGTATGGTTTTGAGGTTTCAAGACGTAGCAAGTTTCTGATTTTGCCTCAGGAAACAGGTCCGTAAACAACAACCATACAGAGAATTTTATACAGTCAAACCTCTCACCTGATTTTTAACATCATGTCCTTGAAAAAATAACAACATATAGACCTTGCTATATAAAGAATTTCTGTAATTATTTATAATTACCTTTCCACTGTCACTTTCAGAATCCATAGTGTGAGCACCTAAGTGATAATGTGAATCATCTGATCTCTTCTTAATCTGCCTCTTCATAACATTACTTGAGCGACGTCTGCGTACATTATGATCAGAATCATTTGAAAGTTTATGAGCATCTATATTTGTATTATTAGAATGAGTATGATGATGATCTGAAGCATGATTTTTGTGATTATGGTCATCATGATGCTTCGTGTGATTTTTGCTGTCATGACGATGATCTTCATGATCTGTATCAGGATGGTGTTTTTTGTGATCCGAGTCATGAATATGCTTGGAATGATCTGCATCATGACTATGGCCAGCATGGCTATCAGTAGGTACATGAGAATGTCCAATATGGGAATGGTCAGGCAGTAAATGAACATTCATTCCTAGATTCTCCAAGATATGAATAACTCCATCATAGTCTAAAACACCGTCTCTACCAAATCTGTACAATAAATCTTTCATATAAAGATTTTGTGCATGTAACATTTCATCAGTCTTTTCCGATGATTCATCATGGTCATGATCATGGTCATGTTCATGGTCATGATCTTCATTATCTGTATCAGGATGATGTTCTTTGTTATCCGAGTTATGAATATGCTCGGGATGATCATGATCATGGTCATGATCTTCATTATCTGTATCAGGATGATGTTCTTTGTTATCCGAGTTATGAATATGCTCGGGATGATCATGATCATGGTCATGGTTGTGGTGATCATGCTCCGAAGGAAAGGTATTGTTCAACATCAAATGATGATGTGGATCTGAAGAATTAGTAGGAAATGTTGGCACGAGTTTAGTTGATTCATCTGCATGCCCATAGGCAGGGAGACAGGTGAGAGCATGTAACGTAAGGCAGATGGCACAGAACCGGTAACTCTGAATGGTGAAACACATTGCGTTGACTTCTCCAATGGTCAGTTCTACACAGGCCCTGTATGATCAGTCTGTCAATCTGCAAAGACAATTAATTGAATACATTACAATTAAAGTCAACCAGATATTACAAGATATTACAGATAATATCTTCTTCAACAAAAGTGATTAAAATCCCCTAAAATTGTAGATAAGCATTTGTTAAGACATGCCAATTAGAAAGATAAATATGACTAACGGAATGTGACTCCCCTTTAAGAAACATTTCACTTCAATATTTTAACAAGTGATTCCTTTTTAATGTAAATACATCTAACAACAGTTGGATGGTTTGTATATGTTGACATGTAATATAAGGCAGAAATACCCTGTAACTTACACCATTGGCAATTAATTAAAACAAAAATTCTAATTTTCATGGGGAACCATGTTCTATCAGTGTATCATTTTTGAACATTTAACTAATTTCTGCGGCAATTATTTGATAGAAGGTATGTATATCAGAATTGGTGTCCGTTGTTCCCGTCGTATTACTTACAATGTATAGAAATTGATGGTATTTTTCAAAGTCAATTAAAAAATATATACACTGGATAGGTGATGTTTGGAAGTTTCCATTAAATTTTTGTTTTGTATTTTTCATCCATGCAGTAATAGCTGAAGCTGGAACATCTTTTTCACCATTTCTTTTACTCCCTTTGTGCAGACAATTTACAGAATATAAATACACAATGGATACTTTAATAACAGAGTAGACAAGAAAATGTCATGATCTATTGAATACCAATATGTCACAACTTCTGCTCAGAAAGAATCAAACTGATTGCCAAATTTGAATCCATAATGAAATTTAAAATATAGGTTAAACAGTGACCTGCTTAATGATAAAGCTATTACTAAGCCATTTTGCTAGTCAATACAACAAATCAACATGACATATTTGGTCAACTGGTTGACTGGTTTTCCATCTCCATGACTCCTTCTGGTGCCAGGTATCAACGATGAACATCAGTGTTCTGGTATAACATGATGTATTGTGAATGTAAGATAAATATATCAAATATGGAATAAGTCAAACAGAATCGGTCAGGTCAAAAATTAAGGTAACAATGATCTACTTCTGATATTGTATTCAGAAGAAATCTACATATCCTCCAGGTGCATTTACAATAACTGTTACAATTTCTAGATGTATGCATATGTAAATAGCCAGTCTGCTGTGGAATGACAGTCGCCTAGTTTTCACTTACATACATCAGCAGCACATGTACTTCTGAAGACAAATGTATGTATGTTTCATGGATGTACTTCTGAAGACAAATGTATGTATATTTCATGGTTGTTCTCCTTTAGTTGGTTATGAAAATGTTAACTTTTATATATACATGTATTTAACAAGCATGACCACTTATGAAAAATTCATGTGTAACAACTTATTTACAATATCTTTGTTGTTTATCATTTTACCTCCTTGACAAGTAAGCTGAAGTATTATATAACAGTTGATAGATTTTGAAAGTCTTTGCCAACATCTTGATCCAACTTCTCACATTTTTCAAGGACCATAGATTCAGGGTTGTAGATTAAAGGTCACCATTACTATGTTTTAGAAAATCAACCCTCTAGTATCTTCATCAACTTTTTCTTGGCAAACATCACATTCCTTCCAAGAACCAAATTATATTTAAGTTTTTTCAATATGCGTGGTCAATGTCATTCATTTCAGAACACCCAGGTTAACATTCAAGCAGCTTCATTCCTGAAGAAATTTTTATCCAAAATCCAAATGGACATAATTATAAAGGATTGTGATATCACTGAGTTCGACTTTCGTGGATGCAAGGTCAAGGCCACTATCAATAAATCATCGTCAGCACAGCTAATGGCGAATCAAACCTTCCTTGAGGGACTGGATCAAACTTCATGTATAGGACCTTGTTTTATGGTTCGTGTTAGCACATCAGTCTAGGTTAACAACAAGAGGATTGGTATTGTTCGAGAACCTATTGTGATGTCATATGATCAGTCAAAATAATGAAAATTATAACAAGAGGCCCATGGGCCTTAACGGTCATCTGACAAAAAGCAAGCCAAACCTAGAAAGTGGGTTGAGGTCATTCATTTGAACAAACTTGGTAGCCTCTCCTCCAAGCATCTTACAGGCCCAATATCAGCACTCATGGACTTTTGCTTGTTGCGAAGAAGTCGTTTGTATATTTTAACATATTTGACCCCTGTGACCTTGAAAGTGGGTTGAGGTCATTCATTTGAATAAACTTGGTAGCCTTTCCTCCCAGCATGCTACAGACCCAATATCGGCACTCATAGACTTTTGCTTATTGAGATGAAGTCCTTTGTATATTTTAACATATTTGACCCCTGTGACCTTGAAAGTGGGCCAAGGTCATTCATTTGAACAAACTTTGTAGGGCTCCATGCCAGCATGCTATGGGCCAAGTATTAGCCCCCTAGGCCTTCTAGTATTTGAGAAGAAGTTATTTAAAGATTTTAACATATTTGACCCCTGTGACCTTTAAAGTGGGTCAAGGTCATTCATTTGAACAAACTTGGTAGTCCTTCATCCCAGCATGTCACAGGCCCAATATCTACACTCTGAGCCTTTTGGTTAATGAGAAGAAGTTATTTAAAGATTTTGACATATTTGACCCCTGCGACCTTGAAAGTGGGTTGAGGTCATTCATTTGAATAAACTTGGTAGCCTTTCCTCCCAGCATGCTACAGACCCAATATCGGCACTCATAGACTTTTGCTTATTGAGATGAAGTCCTTTGTATATTTTAACATATTTGACCCCTGTGACCTTGAAAGTGGGCCAAGGTCATTCATTTGAACACACTTTGTAGGGCTCCATGCCAGCATGCTATGGGCCAAGTATTAGCCCCCTAGGCCTTCTAGTATTTGAGAAGAAGTTATTTAAAGATTTTGACATATTTGACCCCTGTGACCTTGAAAGTTGTTCAAGGTCATTCATTTAAACAAACTTGATAGCCCTTCATCCCAGCATGCCACAGGCACAATATCAGCAATCTAAGCCTTTTGGTTATTGAGAAGAAGTTGTTTAAATATTTTAACATATTTGACCCCTGTGACCTTTAAAGTGGGTCAAGGTCATTCATTTGAACAAACTTGGTAGTCCTTCATCCCAGCATGTCACAGGCCCAATATCTACACTCTGAGCCTTTTGGTTAATGAGAAGAAGTTGTTTAAAGATTTTAACATATTTGACCCCTGTGACCTTGAAAGTGGGTTGAGGTCATTCATTTGAATAAACTTGGTAGCCTTTCCTCCCAGCATGCTACAGACCCAATATCGGCACTCATAGACTTTTGCTTATTGAGATGAAGTCCTTTGTATATTTTAACATATTTGACCCCTGTGACCTTGAAAGTGGGCCAAGGTCATTCATTTGAACAAACTTTGTAGGGCTCCATGCCAGCATGCTATGGGCCAAGTATTAGCCCCCTAGGCCTTCTAGTATTTGAGAAGAAGTTATTTAAAGATTTCGACATATTTGACCCCTGTGACCTTGAAAGTTGTTCAAGGTCATTCATTTAAACAAACTTGATAGCCCTTCATCCCAGCATGCCACAGGCACAATATCAGCAATCTGAGCCTTTTGGTTATTGAGAAGAAGTTGTTTAAAGATTTTAACATATTTGACCCCTGTGACCTTTAAAGTGGGTCAAGGTCATTCTGGGTCAAGGTCATTCATTGAACAAACAGTCCTTCATCCCAGCATGTCACAGGCCCAATATCTACACTCTGAGCCTTTTGGTTAATGAGAAGAAGTTGTTTAAAGATTTTAACATATTTGACCCCTGTGACCTTTAAAGTGGGTCAAGGTCATTCATTTGAACAAACTTGGTAGAGCTCCATGCCAGTATCCTCTGTGCCAAGTATTAGCCCCCTAGACCTTCTAGTATTTGAGAAGAAGTCGTTTGAATGAAAAGTTTACGGACGGCGCACGGCGGACGGCGCACGGTGGACGGCGGACGGCGCACGACGACGGACGAAGCATGATGACTATAGGTCATCGGACCCTTCGGGTCCAGATGACCTAAAAATTAAAGCACAGTGACCCCCTCTTTTCTAATCATGAAAAGTATCATAGAAAATTTCTTTTTCAAAACAAAGTCTTAAGAAAAGTTTTATACTAGAGTTGCATCATTGTGGAACATTTTCAGTTTTTGGTTGCTATGCAGTTTAAAGCTCATTAAATCAAATGAAAACTTGGAAAATAAGAATGTAAATATGTTTCCTGCTTCAGTCATTCAGTTATAACTATTGTAGATATATGCATGTTACCATTATGGTAATTGATTTCCCTTATGTAAAAGTAAATTGAAAGAAGGCGTTAAGTTGTAATAACTTCAGGGGTCTGGTGGAGTAATATTTTAAACCACAAGGCACAGGACTAGTGGGCTGAAAAATTAACTCGTCCGGATTGGAAATTTACTTGTCCAAATTCAGCTATTAAATGGCAACTTAATCAGCGAGGATGAGACGTGACTTTTTTTCTGTTTCTATTTTAAGTTTTAGTGAAAAATCTATGCAGTAATGGCTGCTTTGTGTCAGACATTGTGCGCTACTTTGGCCTAGCCGAAGTGTTTGTTTACATCCGATTGACTAGGTGCTGCTAAATACAGACCGGTACATGTTGGTACCGCCCAAGAGCACCTGACATCAGTATGACCGCGGGAAAATGCCCAAGGTATTCCTTATGCTATATTTGACGTCATGGAAGTTCCAGTGAAATTAAAAGGTAGAGTGCAGTCTCGAAGTACCGTAAACATGTTTCTTTGTTTTAAATTTTCTTTGCATTTTTACTGAACTCTAAGTTGTAACATTAATATCATCATACAACTGACAAAGATAAATCTGGTTGTCTGAGACAATTTTCACTCATCCATGACGACCGGACTAGTGCTTTTCTGGATCCCTGAACTTGTGTCTCATACCTTCTTCCAACGTTAACAATAAATTTGTTTAAATGGATTTCTGTCTGAAAATTCTGACTAATTCGACAAATTAATGAATATTCATTTACAATCTGATGTTTCATAGTATGGCTGTTCTCCCCTTACTTCCTTTTCCTTCCATGGATGTTCTATGGCAGCTGCTACCAGTTATTGAGCTTGTGGTGTCATGGCCAACAGGGTCCAATTCAGCGAGTTATACATAATATGTGGAATTAAAGTACCATGGGAAGAACATATCGAGGGGACACATGAAAGGAAGAAGACAAAATATCAGGAGCTGGTCGATGATTGTAAGTAGAAGTGTTGGAGGGTATGGTCCTTCCCTGTGGAGTTTGGCTGTTAAAAAATTTGCCAATCTTTGTGCAGCACCATAAGGACTACAATTGTCATCAGGAAAGACAGAAAGCATCTGATTGGTGCAGTATGCCAGCAAGCAGAGTCAGCATCAATGTGGCTGTGGAGGAAGTGGGGCAGGCAGAACAGTAGGCATCAAAGTAGTGTTGTACAACTCTTCAGAATCACTCCAATATAGACTTTGTAATTTGGACAGACATATATGGCATTTGTATACTAATAGCAACATCAATCATAAAAGAACTGAGACAACATCAGCAGTGTACATGGTGGAACAGGCTAGATGGTTACAAGCTAGGATTCAATCACTTAAGTTGGTGCACCTCTGGTGGTTGTTGTGGACCACACCGAAACAACCAAGGATAGAGGATCCACCTGAAGATGGAACTGCCCGGCATCAATAACATCAATTACGTAAGAAGGTGTAAGGTAATATTGATTAGTAGGAAAGGTAAAAATAGCAAAGTTTACACATCAACATCTAACTGGTATTGGGCCAGCAGATTTTAATGTGGTTTTCAATCTATTCTGATTGGGATCATAAATAACACTATATTCATTTCATTTGTGTAGTTATTTCAGGGACTTTTATGATATTAGAGGGATATGAAACTAAGCCCAGTGGTGACTTCTCTGACATTGAAATCCCCTCATCTCCACATGTTGTCATCTAATTAAAATCTTACCTATCTATGCTCCATTCACTTCTATGTGACCAACCTCGCCAGAACCATTTTTTTGGCCAATGATCCTTAATATCATTTTCATAACAACAATGATAAGTTAAAATGCAAAGTGACAAAAATGACACAAGACAATAGCAAAATAACTCAGCTTTTAAATGCTACATATATTTACAGACGATCAATGTCTGGAAAAAAATAAAACTTTCTACCACTGTGTTTATTTGAAAGATCAGAATTATAGACAGCCAATTCTTACCTCTCTGTAATATAGATCCCTGAGGTATTAATATAAATTGATTTCACAATCACAGATACATCTGTAACTTTTGTTAATGTTATATTATGTCCACAATAAGTATGCTCCTGTACTAGTTTACAATGTACTTGATTTGAATCACTTAAAAATATTTTTTCAAATATTCAACATATCCTTAAAAACAAAACAAACAAAAATTAAACAAAAAAAACTCTAATTGCTAATCGATAATAATCATATAGAAGTTTATACTGTACACACGTACATTTACATGTAGGCCATTTTAGACGGTAACACGAGCACCTGCTTCGCATTCGCGACTGTCTTGCGGCTATCGAAAGTGTGACAATTCAAAGAGAAATGTACATGTACATGCATATACGCTGATATCAAAATCTACTATAATTTTAATCATTTCCCACTCTTTGGTCGGTAAGAACTGTTTGTAAATCAACATCGTGGCTTTACACCAAACTGCCTTCCCATTTAGTACAATATTTACCTTTTGTGGCAATTTTGAAGTGTCGTGTGCACAGACTCAAAATGTGATTCAAATATGGCTGCCAGTTTCACGATTCACGTTCTCCACAATGACGTTCGGAATCTTCTAGAGTTTCGTCGAAAGGATATGACTCATAGTAGAATAATTCATGCGCATGCGAGGACGCCCACCAATGAAGTCGGAACACCTCGGCTGATTCCCATGCAGTTATCACGTGTTATTTATAACATATTTCAAACAAAGAACCATCTATTCCTGTGTAGTTTCTTTTCCATTATTTATTAATATACATTGGAAACTAGGCCTATTAGTGACTTCTCTTACATTAGCTTTTTGTGTTTGTGCACACAGAACCTAACTCAGTGAAATGTCCATTATAGTTTCGTTTTCAGAAGTTGACCTGGCCACCATACTCGCACACGTCGAGGTTTTTTTTTCATGGAAAATTCATTTGAAAATGTAATGAAAAATGGTTGTATAAAAAGATATTTCAATTCCTCATTTTTTATCACATTTTTAAATGAAATTTAAAAAAGAATACATAAATGAATTTCGTCGTGTGTGAGTGTAGTGGTCAGTTCAGCTATGGAAATGAAACTATTTGAATAACATGTATTTGCACCGAGTGAACCCCTTATGTTTGATCACTGAGCCGTGAAATTCCCTCGCCTCCGCTATGGAGTTAGGCCGCAAACTGTACGTGATATATAATTGTGGGAGCGGACAGGTCAAGCTTCGGTTTGCTCGGGTTCATCACGGGCAAGTGATCTTTCCTCTCGCACACAAATTTACGGCACAGTTTGAGGCTTATCTCTAACTTAAAACATGGACCCCCTTTGTATTAATACCATCCTCGATATTCCAGGGGATACGATCACTTCCACTCTCTGGATACCGAGACAGTATTAATATAAAACACGTTTATAAGTAATAAAAACCAGTTCCACAAATTTTGTCTCAGACAATCGGCTTAAATTCTTCACGGTGTTTTAATTTTGAAACTTCTATATCGGCTCTACCTTCGTTAAATGTAATAGAATAACCGAAAGTATGTGATCATGGATCAATGAATAACGTTATAGTGAAGCGCACAGAGCACTCGTTTGACCCGCTTAGTTCATTACTATGCATGTATTTTCAGTGTGTCTGCAGACAGTGAAGCAGTGCATTTCTTCCCCAGTATACTGCCTGCCCGGAACCATTAAAGTGTAACTTCTCCTACACCGTTTGATGGAGGGAAAATGTTTACGATAATTATCTTCCTATGATCAAAGAACAAAATCAGATAGATTATAAAAAGGATACCAGGGACATATGATACATATATTATATCCCAGGTACTAAACAGAGGTACTACACAGAGATGTACACAATATAGATATTACATCCCTGGTACTACACATATGTACTACACAGAGATGTACAATATAGATATTACATCCCTGGTACTACACAGAGATGTACTATATAGATATTACATCCCTGGTACTACACAGAGGTACTACACAGAGGTGTACAATATAGATATTACATCCCTGGTACTACACAGAGGTACTACACAGAGATGTACAATATAGATATTACATCTCTGGTACTAAACAGAGGTACTACACAGAGATGTACTATATAGATATTACATCCCTGGTACTACACAGAGGTACTACACAGAGGTGTACAATATAGATATTACATCCCAGGTACTAAACAGAGGTACTACACAGAGATGTACACAATATAGATATTACATCCCTGGTACTACACAGAGGTACTATACAGAGATGTAGAATATAGATATTACATCCATGGTACTACACATATGTACTACACAGAGATGTACAATATAGATATTACATCCCTGGTACTACACAGAGGTACTACACAGAAATGTACTATATAGATATTACATCCCTGGTACTACACAGAGGTACTACACAGAGATGTACACAATATAGATATTACATCCCTGGTACTACACAGAGGTACTACACAGAGATGTACACAATATAGATATTACATCCCTGGTACTACACATATGTACTACACAGAGATGTACTATATAGATATTACATCCCTGGAACTACACAGAGGTACTACACAGAAGTACTACACAGAGATGTACTATATAGATATTACATCCCTGGTACTACACAGAGGTACTACACAGAGATGTAGAATATAGATATTACATCCCTGGTACTACACAGAAGTACTACACAGAGATGTACAATACAGATATTACATCCCTGGTACTACACAGAGATGTACAATATAGATATTACATCCCTGGTACTTCACAGAGGTACTACACAGAGATGTACAATATAGATATTACATCCCTGGTACTACACAAAGGTACTACACAGAGATGTACTATATAGATATTACATCCCTGGTACTACACAGAGATGTACAATATAGATATTACATCCCTGGTACTACACAGAGATGTACAATATAGATATTACATCCCTGGTACTAAACAGAGGTACTACACAGAGATGTACAATATAGATATTACATCCCTGGTACTACACAGAGATGTACTATATAGATATTACATCCCTGGTACTACACAGAGGTACTACACAGAGGTGTACAATATAGATATTACATCCCTGGTACTACACAGAGGTACTACACAGAGATGTACAATATAGATGTTACATCTCTGGTACTAAACAGAGGTACTACACAGAGATGTACTATATAGATATTACATCCCTGGTACTACACAGAGGTACTACACAGAGGTGTACAATATAGATATTACATCCCAGGTACTAAACAGAGGTACTACACAGAGATGTACACAATATAGATATTACATCCCTGGTACTACACAGAGGTACTATACAGAGATGTAGAATATAGATATTACATCCATGGTACTACACATATGTACTACACAGAGATGTACAATATAGATATTACATCCCTGGTACTACACAGAGGTACTACACAGAAATGTACTATATAGATATTACATCCCTGGTACTACACAGAGGTACTACACAGAGATGTACACAATATAGATATTACATCCCTGGTACTACACAGAGGTACTACACAGAGATGTACACAATATAGATATTACATCCCTGGTACTACACATATGTACTACACAGAGATGTACTATATAGATATTACATCCCTGGAACTACACAGAGGTACTACACAGAAGTACTACACAGAGATGTACAATATAGATATTACATCCCTGGTACTACACAGAGGTACTACACAGAGATACTACACAGAGATGTACTATATAGATATTACATCCCTGGTACTACACAGAGGTACTACACAGAGATGTAGAATATAGATATTACATCCCTGGTACTACACAGAGGTACTACACAGAGATGTACAATATAGATATTACATCCCTGGTACTACACAGAGGTACTACACAGAAGTACTACACAGAGATGTAGAATATAGATATTACATCCCTGGTACTACACAGAAGTACTACACAGAGATGTACAATACAGATATTACATCCCTGGTACTACACAGAGATGTACAATATAGATATTACATCCCTGGTACTTCACAGAGGTACTACACAGAGATGTACAATATAGATATTACATCCCTGGTACTACACAGAGGTACTACACAGAGATGTACAATATAGATATTACATCCCTGGTACTAAACAGAGGTGTACAATACAGACATTACATCCCTGGTACTAAACAGAGGTACTACACAGAGATGTACAATATAGATATTATATATATTGTACATCTCTGTGTACAATATTATATATATTGTACATCTCTGTGTAGTACCTCTGTGTAGTTTCAGGGATGTAAGATCTGTATCACACGTCCCTTGTACTACCTATTATCCTTTTCATACTCTATCTACTTATATGTGTTTTTTGTTCTTCTGCCAAAAGAAGTTTTTATCATTTGACCATAGGAAGATAAATAGTGTAAACATTTCATTTTTACTTATTTTTGCCAGGTTTAGTCCATCATTTGTGTTTTCATAAAAAAGGTGTATAATTTAAGATTGGGCCATAAATATGGGATTCTGGTTTCTTACTATAATAGATGGTTTGGTGGTTAACATTTCTGTACTGGATAATGAGTAGGGAATGGTTCATATGCTTGTGTTGGGTACCCATTTTAGTGATTTTATGAGATGTTTATCATCCTGAATTTTACAATCTCTGTCAGAACATGTGTTGTTTGATTATTTTAAGAAATTGTATGCTGGTAGTATTTCCTGTACTATCACGTGTCAAATTTCAATGAAATTCCAGCAAACGGTGTAGGAGAGGTTGTACTTTAAAGGTTCAGGGCAGACAGGCAGACATATGAATGGACAGGCTCCTATGTACTTCCCTCCCCAGCAAACTGTTTAGGTGGAGTGTTAAATAAAATGAGAAACACAAATCAACCTACTTGAATAGCTTCAAAACAAGGCAGAATTATCACACACATAACAGATGCATAGTCAGTTTATTCCAAGAACAGGAAAATGTGTAGTGTACCAGCTGTTACAAAATGCACCAACAAGTCATACACATATGTATTCCGAGATTTTCATATCATTGACAGGGTAACAGTTTCGCTCATTTCCAAGGAAAGGACATATCAAGTATGATGCTGGCGGATGTTGGCAGAGCTCTCTAGTGGTTTTTTTCCGTTTTCCAAATAAAGAGAAAATTTTCATTGTTTTGAAAATGATAAAGCTACTTCCTGATGTTAATCAATATATGCTTTTGTTAAAAAATCAATTAGCACATTTTAACAAATTGCATACCTGGGAGGTGAAAGAGACATTTCTCACCAGAAAGAGAATATGTACATGTATTAATCCCGTAAGCACACGCTTATTTATAAAATTCCAATATCAGAAACTTTTTTTTCATTATAACATCCTGCTCTAAAGGTTAATCTTTCTTTTTCCTAAATGTGCTTGTTATAGTAACAATATCTGGACTTCAATTGGTTTAAAAACACATTCTAATGAATAAAATACATCTCTTTTGCCACATTTTGTCATAACTTGTTGTTTCGTTGAAAATATGTTGTTGTAATGACAAAGCATCACTTATAA